TTTTAATTTAAAAATTTACACTTTTCATGATTCTAAATTAAACATTAATATTTTTTTTTTTTGTGAACTCATTGAAATTAAACATTAAATTTTTTACTTCTCTTTTTAAAAAATAAAGATATAAACGATTTTTTTTTTTCTTTTAGAGATTTATTAAATGTCAATAACGATATGACAAATAACAATCTTAAACAAAATAAAATAAAGTTTGTATCTTTGAAAGAAAAGAAAAGGAAAAAGAAGGCAAATTTCATATCCTTATCTAAAACTTCTCTCAAATCTTATGTTGCGAGTTGGAAGGAGAGGGAATCTTTCAAGAGAGACAATTGAAAGTACGTTTAATTTGAACAGTACAATATAATTCGAATTACATCTATTCAGACAAACAAGTCTACTTATTCCTTTCAGAAAAGCCGTGTATCGAGAATGACGTCCCTCTCCCTAGCCTGCTTCTCATCACCCTAAACCAATGTACAACATAAATGGAAACTACAGAATTTGTGCATAGAACAGAAAGAATTTTGCAGCTTACTTGGAAATGGGCATCCAACTCACCCCGACATTTCCTATGAGGCATTACAAACATTGATGGCTGATCTACTAACCTGAACAACTGAAGTACAAGACGGTACGGTTTTACGAACCACATGAATAATGCTACTACACCCCTAGTGAAATAGACTTCTGACATGTTTACAACTCAGACTACAATTTTTTTCACCTTCAAAATGCCTATGGCCAGAACCATATGAAACTACAATGTCAGACCAGCGTCAGTTTCCTGATTTTATAAGCAGATAGCCAACCTCTCTAGTCTCTTCTACATGACAATGTAATCCACATGCAACCATGTGTTTATGAAACCAAATGGGCATCATCTAGTGCTATCACTGCTATGACATTCTAACCTTCAGGTAGCACAAGGAGTTGAAAAATGGAATTTCATATGGCGAATGTGATCAGATAAAAGCTTAAAAACCAGTAACAAAGTTACCTATTACTGTTAGATGGAGGTGCCTTGACTGAAAAAACAGGCAACACCATCCAAATTTATTATCTCTGCTGGTTTTCAGGATCAGTCATTCCCTGTGGGACCTGTGTCTTGACCTGATAAACCTTCTTCACCTGCTTCTCATAAGCACCACCATACATGGTTTCCTGTTTGTAGTCAATTCCAGCATTTCCACTATCCGTTCTATTGGTCCATTTGGTAGGTGGAGATGGAAGTCGGCCCATGCCCTGCACCACCTGATGATAATCATGATAATGCTCTTGATAAGGTGATCTATCCTGTCCCCTAAAGTTGTTTCTGCTGCCTTGAGTACCATTTGATGAGAATGGATATCTAGGGTTACCCATTATGCCTTGCTGATAGCTGTGCTGTCCATAAAAATAATTCCGATCATTAAAAACACCCCTCTCATAACCTGATGGGCCCGCTGGTCTTGGCCTATTGCTAATGTAGTTGCTTGGGATATTATCATATGGCTGATACTCCAAAAACCCAGACGATGGACCATTAGATTTGATATTAAGTGTATTCCTTACAAGACGATGAGCTGCTTCTCCAAGCTGAGGGCCAGCTATGGCTCCAAGTACTTGTGGTCTGAGACACAATGTCAAAAATGAACCTTCTTAAAAACATCAATTGTTTGGAGGCTTATAAACAAAAGTCATGAATAATTCCAAAATTCAATAATTAAAGTAGCTAATGTCAGATTTTATTAGTTTTTCCTTCTTCCTATGCTATTTGCAAAAGCACAAACATACATCACAATTCACACACACAAGCCAAAACCAAATTCCAAGCAGACCAACACACATCAAAACAGTTTTTGGAAAACGCACCTCCAAAAAGCTTTCAAGCTGAACTTGAAAGTCTTCAGTGTTTTCCACCAAACAAACAGAGAATGTGAGAACACTCAAATGGATAGTAACTTCATAAAAAACACTTTATTTTTTAGTTTCAGACTTCCTAATCACACATAAAGTACCAGCACCACCCAAAAGCTATTGATCTCCCATCTCTCTCAGTGCCTGTGTTTGTGTGTATATTTGTGTTCCTTATTATTCTCTACTTGACCAATCATCTGCTAATGTTTCCTGTGCCTATGGCTAATAATTAGTCCATTTTTATTAAAGCCAAATTGTATTTTCAGTTAACGTATTGCCAAAAATATAAGGAATATAAGCCTACCATGCATTTCATTTCCTCTTCCTATCTCTCCCCTCATTGTTCCTTTATCAATTGGGTCTTTTTGCAATTTCATTTATTTGTAGGAGTATTTGAAATATGGTACTTTAGTCATTATATGCAAATTTGTGGGGGCTTTTGTTTGCAAGCCGGACATACCACTAAAAGACAAAATGAAGAATTTGGTGAGATAAATTAATGATTAAACCCTCAAACTTATAAGATTGTAACCTTTAAGTTCTTAAATAAAAAAATGTGACAGTTAAACTCTTAAAATCAAAAAATAATGTGCATCAATTTAGTCTTCTTCAAAACAAAAAAATCATCAGTTCATACTAAAATCAAGTGCTTGGATAAAGATGATTTAGCAAGTGACTTACAACATCGCTTTTGCATGGTTTTGAACTAATATGAATTTAGTCTAAAAATTTGTTAATATTCTAATTTCATTAAAAAAAATTACTCTTTTGCCTCCCACAAAGCAGGGTTAAGGCAATCTAGTAAGAGTAAGGAATAAAGATAACAATGAGAGATCTTTCTTAGGTTAGGATGGTTCTTTCTTAGGTGTTTCAATTTCAAGCATACTAACTCTTCTCAGAATATGCCTATTAATTTAATTGTCAAAATTGATTTTGCCAGTTCAACATGCTAGCAAATAAGCAGTCTGAGAAAAGGGCAGCATTTGAGTGCATTTCACATCTTTATTCCAAATGGAAAACACAAAGCAAGCAGATTGTTACTACTTTCATTTCCAGAAAATGACTTGATTCATTCACCAAATGCAATTTCAAGAAATCAAAGGATAGAAAGTAAAAGTTAATTTCAGAAAAATGCATATCTCACCTGTCTCTGGCTCGCTGGCGCCTGCCACTACTATTATCTTCATGCCATAAGACAGGGAATGGTTTAATGTCTAATGGAGTGAGGACCTACAATAACACAACCACGTGTTTTAAAACATAGATAAACTCCAGGATAAATCCAATGATACAATGTCCCATAACCTTAAAATAGAACTACCACACCAGCTATCTAGTCGCAAAAACAAAATGGAAACGAAAATGGTAAAAGCACAATTGGGCATACCTTTTTGGGCATAACTACACCTACTGGTGGTTCTGGGATGTGCCTATGACATTGAGGATTACGGTATGCAATGTTTCTACAAAGAAAACTTTCCCATGTAAATTAACTTTGTAGCATCAATGGATAATCAATTTCTGAAGACTACAAAAGCAGAAGAAGAAGAAGACTTACAAAACTTGGTTATATTCAATATTTGGCAATCCTTTAACAGGGGAAGGCACCACACGTGGCCAACCATTCCTTTCAGATATACAAAGGCATCCATTCATTCCACCACTGCAATGGGTTAACCAAACATGGTATAAGAACTACAGTTGTGCAGTTGAATTATAAGAACACTTAATGTTAAAGTAACATTGAGTTTAACCAACCTAGCAATTGTGTCAATTGGCCAAATGAATTTTTCATGTGGCTGAAAATAATAGGATGTTTGGTAGCACGAAGTGATTAGTTGGGCCAATGGGTGATGAAGATGTAAATATAACAGATCAAGCATCACACTGTTTCGAATCTGCTCTTCTGCCTAAAGCAATAAATATTTTGGATTAAAAAACTTGAACATATTAAAAACAAACAAAAAATTTACACTGAAAACTCAGCACATCCATGCTATTTCTGCTTGTAACAGTCTTCAACATCTAATGATATGTTGATCATACAAAATGACAATATTGTATTGGTTTCACCAACTTCAACCAAGGATTGAAAAAAATGAGGGGGGAGAGCAAAATCTAATATAAAAGATTGAAGGACATTTTGTCCTGCTGTCTTCTTTCTCTCTTTATTTTTTATTTTTTTCAAATTTCAAATAATGCAATTGCCATTGAGAAATCAACAATTTCAAGATCTTCTACCCGGTGGGGCTGCACTTCAGAAATAGATTAAGGCTGCACTTAGAATTTCTTTCATCACATTCTTCCCCACAGCCATGCAATAATATAAATATTAATTAGCTATAATTAAATTATTTTTTATCAATAATATATTTTGTATATTTTAGTAATTTTATAGATTTACATCCTTTTTGAATAGTACAGCATAGGACACAAACAGCAACAACTACAGAATTGTACAGCAATCCTAAACAGAATCTGTCTAAATACTCCAATGAAATGGCCACTGCATCAAATGCTGCTTCAAGAGGCAATAAAATTTATAAATACCATGTTAAATAACACAAACCGTTAGAGTAGCTTCAAGCTTCTTTGTTGCAGCAAGCAACTTCTTCTCATCAATAAATGGCAATTTGGCAATGCCCTGGATCCAATAAAAAAAAAGAATGATAACTTTCAATATACTTATTAAGAAATCTTATCAAAATAAACTAAAATATTTCTGTTGGTCACAATAGATAAGAAAAATGTACCTGCCATGCAAAACGTTTACCATTCATGTCAATCTCAAAATCTGCAACATGAGGCAATCCAAGTAATCTTTGGAATGAAAAAATCTTGTAAGAGATAAATGGATTAGAAATAGGGAAATGATTTTACCAGAGGGATAGAACTTATAAATAGGTGATGATGGGTCAGTCATTAATTTTCTATATTCTTCTGGCAAAGCACTAGAACTGTAATGGGGAACAGCTATAACCTCAATTAGCATTGGTACTGGAAATGAAAAATAAAACAACCAGGAAGAACTATCTAAAATATGAAGTCCAAATGCAACGTGTCACAAAACCTTGCAGCTGGCAGTGTTCCCATGAGCTGGTCAAACGGTTTAAATGGCTCGCCCAAGAAAAATGTTATTTCCAAATCAGATAGGTCTTTAAGATCAGAAGCAAATGGAGCATAGTGATAGGGATAAAACCTGCAAAAACAGTAGAGAAACTTTTACTTTATGTAAATTGAACAAATGCATCTAAATAAAGTTTCAGTGTAAGTTATCCCTTTCCCATGCTAATCTACCGGCATCTCAAAAGTTCATCATCAGTATAGAACTTTAATAACTTATAACATGCATGAAATGAAGTGTTGAATTAGGGCTGGTTTGGTTTAACAATTGAAACTCAACCGATAAGTGATAACTAGCAGCCAATAGCTGCCAATTGATGGATGACAGTTGATGACAACATCACATTGTTGTTAGGAGCTTCATTATGTCTAATAATAAATATTTATTCTATTAACATATAATAATAATAATAATAACATAACACTTTATGCAGTCCAGCCTGTGCTGGACTGAAAAATTCAGACTGCATGATGGGGAAGAAGGCCTACATTTGGGGGGCCTCTCCCTCCATCAATGGTTAGTTTTGTGCAGTCCTGTACACTCTCAACTGTATAAAACATTTTTGAAATAATAATAATGATAATGATAACAAAAAAAGTGTTTTGCAATCCAAACAGCAAAACATTAACCATTGGATGACCATTAGATGATGAAGGGGCCCTTGATAATGGGTATTAGTCACTCCTAATGGTTGATGTTTTGCAATCTACTGTACTAGACTAATACTGTTGATGCTTTTTATTGGTAACAATGCAAAATTCCAAACAATATTATTAATAAAAACAAGAACCAAAGAAATAAGAGAAAGTATAGAAAATGAAGGAAAATAGAGCAAAAGAGAAAAATGAGAGAGAAAATGACAAAATGTTGATAATTCGGATAATTAGTGAGAGGAAATTCAAATAAATCCAAAGGCCAAATTTTGAGTCCAACAACTAGTAGAATAGCTGTTGCAAAATGCTAGCAATTATAAACCTAACCACTATTAACTGCTGCCAAACAGCTGGATAAAAATTCAACCAAATGCTCTTGAGGTGGATGTTAAGAGTTAACTTATGTGTGTTGAGCCCTAACATTGACAGCGATGCCAACACTATATAGTAAAAATTTTAGGTGTTGTACCTTAATTCTGATATGATGGGAATTGTCCTTCCCAGAAACTAGCTCTCTAATTTTTTCTGTCCTAATATTATCCTATTCCCCATGCACCAACCAAAAAATAAAGGTGTTGTTGACAGATGATTAACTGTAATAGCACTTTCAAACAGTTAAGTAGGGTCACTGTTAGTCTCAACAGCTAGCTGTTGGATCCATTTGTATTTGATTTCTTCTTACAAAATTACCTTAACAACATAATGACAACATATTTTTATTTTTTTCTTCAACCCTCCAAAGCACTGCCTTCTTTTTTTAGTTTTTCTTTAAATCAATTTCTTCCATAATTCAACATCACATTTAGCAACCACATGGTTTTAGCTTAGTGGGTACCTACTGACCACTAACCATAAGTGAGTGTTTGGTTGGGGGGAAACTTTCCCCCATACAAAGTTACTTACATATTTTCACACATTAATACTACAACAAAAAAGAGGGTAAACGTGGCATTTTTAACCTTTATTTTCCCTAACACAATTCCCAACCCATGAAGTTTTCTTTCCACCTATTTTGAAAGGAAAAA